GGGGGGGGGGGGGTTTGTGGGATTTGGGGAATTTTTGAGGGGATTTTTGCAGGATTTGGGGGTTGAACCCCTCAATATTTATTTATTTGGGGTGCCGAAGCCCCAAAAGCCCCGCGGGCAGAGCCCGGGGGGGTCCCCGGGGGGGTCGAAGCCCCCCCAAAAACCCTTTTTCGGAGGGGGGGGAGGGGAGGGAATGCCGGAGCCCCGCCCCCCTTTTCCTGCCCCTCCCCCCCGGTTATTTATTGTCATTAATCAATTATTGGTAATAAATCATCGATTTCTCGCTCTGGTTTGTCTGAATTGCCGCGGGTTTGGGGTGGGGGCGTCACGGGACTGGGAGGGACTGGGAGGGACTGGGGGGGACTGGGAGAGACTGGGAGGGACTGGGAGGGAACTGGGAACAAAGTACCAGAACAAACTGGGACATACTGGGAGACCCTGAGGAGCTGGTGGCACCCAGAACAAACTGGGAAATACTGGGACAAACTGGGATACACTGGGACGTACTGGGATATACTGGGACACACTGGGATGAACTGGGACACACTGGGACACCCCAAGGAGCAGGTGACACCCAGAACAAAATGGGACAAACTGGGACACACTGGGATATACTGGGACAAACTGGGACACACTGGGATATACTGGGATATACTGGGATATACTGGGATTACTGGGACAAACTGGGAAGGCAGCAGAACCCCAAACACGACACCAAACCCCCCCCAAACTCCCCCCGGGGACCCCTCCCCAAATCCCTGCAGCCCCGGCTGGGGTGTCACCGTCACCCCGGGGTGACTCAGCTGTCCCCGAACCCCCCCGGGGACCCCTCCCCAAATCCCTGCAGCCCCGGCTGGGGTGTCACCGTCACCCCGGGGTAACTCAGCTGTCCCCAAACCCCCCCCGGGCCCGGCTCCGGCATCTCCGGCACTTTTGGGGCGGGGGCACCGCCCCGAGGTGGGGCCGGACCGGGGGGCGCCCACCCCGGCTCCCCCCGTATCTTATCAGCACCCGGGCTGGGCCCGCTCCGGAACGTTCCGGAATTCCCTTGGCAATGTCCGGCTCTTCTCACGCCCTCCTTGGGCGTTTTTTCTCCTTTATTAAATTCTCTTCCAGGGGTTTGATAAAATTCCGTGACTCAGGGAATTATTTACCTGCGGTTGATGACCGGGATGGATTCGCGACACAAAGTCCCGGTGGCCGCCGGGTCCGGCTCAGTCGCTCCGGTGGCGCCGGCTCCTCCAGGATCGGCCAAGGATGGAGTTGGGCTGCAGAGCCTTCGTCCTCCTCCTCCTCCTCCTCCTCTTCACCCCCTCGGAGGCTCTGGCAGGTGAGATGGGGATGAGGTGGAGGCGTCTCCGTCCTGCCACCTCCAAAATCCCTTCTTTGTGGAGTTTTTTGGGGTGGTTTCAGCTCTTTTTGGGATTCCCGGCGATGACCTTGGAGCACCCGATGACCTTGGGCACATCCTGAGCCCGGGGAGCCCCGAGGGAGCTCCTGTGGGTGCCGGGGTGACCCCTCCCCTCCTCCCAGCTTGGGGTGGGGGGTTCTGGTCCTCAAGGAGCAGATCTGGGGGGGGGTGACGCCCCAGTGTCCCCTCCCGGACCTGGGGGGCCTCTCCCGAGGGCGTTGGGTTGGGTGACATCGATCCATGGGAGGTGGGGCAGGAGCGGGGATGGACCCCCAGGTGCCACTCCCAGTTTGGGGACAGACCCCCAGGTGCCACTCCCAGTTTGGGGACAGACCCCCAGGTGCCACTCCCAGTTTGGGGACAGTCCCTGGTGTCCCTTTCCCAGTTTGGGGACAGTCCCTGGTGTCCCTTTCCCAGTTTGGGGACAGTCCCTGGTGTCCCTTTCCCAGTTTGGGGACAGACCCCCAGGTCCCACTCCCAGTTTTGGGACAGATGCCCAGATGTCACTCCCAGTTTGGGGACAGTCCCTGGTGTCCTTTTCCCAGTTTGGGGACACCCCCAGCCCCCTCCCCAATTTGGGGACAGTCCCTGGTGTCCCTTTCCCAGTTTGGGGACAGTCCCTGGTGTCCCTTTCCCAGTTTGGGGACACCCCCAGCCCCCTCCCCAATTCGGGGACAGTCCCTGGTGTCCCTTTCCCAGTTTGGGGACAAACCCTCGTGTCCCTTTCCCAGTTTGGGGACAGTCCCTGGTGTCCCTTTCCCAGTTTGGGGACACCCCCAGCCCCCTCCCCAATTTGGGCCATCCCCACCCCACACCCTCCTGTCCCTTTCAGCCCCCTGCGCCAGCGGTGGCACCGCGGTGGCCGACGGCTGCGTTTGTCCCCCCGGCCTCTCCGGCCGGCGCTGCGAGACCCCCGACCCCGCCGGCGCGTGCCGGAACGGTGGCACCGCCGTGGGCACCGCCTGCTTCTGTCCCCCGGGATTTGGGGGACCCCTGTGCCAGCACCCCGACCCCGCCGGCGCCTGCCGCAACGGTGGCACCGCCTTTGGGACACGCTGCGTGTGCCCGGCCGGCTTCCGCGGGGACACCTGCCAGCACCCCGAGGAGGTGGCGTGGTGCCTCAACGGTGGCACTTTGGAGAAGGGGACGTGCCGGTGTCCCCCCGCGGCTTGGGGACCTCGGTGCGAGTGCGGTGGCACGGGCCCGAGCACGGCGGTGGGGAAGGTGTTGTACGTCGGTGACACCGCGGGGACGAACGACACGGTGACGGTGACGGCGGCGGGGGGTGGCACCGAGGAGAGCGCCACGGACGCGCCACCGGCGAGGCGGGAGAGGAATGTCACGGGCAGAACTGAGGAGGGCAATGCCACCACCGTGGGAAGTGTCACCACCGTCACCAGAGTGGGAAATGTCACCAGGGCCACCACCAGTGGCAGCGTCATGGGAAGGAACGGCACGGTCACCGCGGTGGTCAGCGCCAGCACGGACCATGATGTGGTCACCAGCTTGGACCATGATGTGGTCACCACCATGGACCATGATGTGGTCATCAGCTTGGACCATGATGTGGTCACCACCACGGAGAGGGGCATGGTGGTCAGTGCCAACACAGACCATGACGTGGTCACCAGCTCGGACCATGACATGGTCACCAGCTCGGACCATGATGTGGTCACCACCACAGAGAGGGACATGATGGTCAGTGCCAACACAGACCATGACGTGGTCACCAGCTCGGACCATGATGTGGCCACCAGCACAGAGACGGCCACCAGGGTCAGGGGCAGCGTCCCCATGGCCACCACCACTGGGGGCAACACCACGACGGTGCCACCAGAGCGGCGGGTGAGAAACGTCACGGGCTGGTCCGTGAGGAGCCACACGGGGGCCACCACCCTGGAGGGTGAGACCGCAGCCGTGGACGGTGACACCGCGGTCACTCCGTCAAACCTCGCGGAGGGAGAGACCACGGCCATGGAGGGTGAGAACGAGGTCACCGAGGGTGAGAACGAGGCCACCGAGGGTGACACCGAGGCCACCCCCATAGAAGGTGACACTGAGGCCACCCCCATGGAAGGTGACACTGAGGCCACACCGGTGGCCACCACGGTGAGGAACACCAGGGCCACCACCGTGGAAAGTGACACCACGACGATGCTGCCAGAGCTCCTGGGAGGCCTCAGCAGGGCCACCACCAGGGCAAGGAACAGCAGGGCCATGGGGAATGCCACCAGGGCCACCACCATGGAAAGTGGCACCAGGGCCACCACCCTGGAAAGTGGCACCAGGGCCATGCCAGTGACCACCGTGGGAGGCCACACCAAGGCCATGGAGAACAACACCAGGGCCACCACCATGGAAAGTGACACCACGGCCACCACCCTGGAGAGCCACACCCTGTCCACCCTCCCCATCGTCCCTGCTGATGTCACCTCAACGCCAGCCACGCCCAATGCCACCAACACCGCCCTGGATGTCACCGAGACCACGGCGGTGACGCCCCAGGCCCCGCCCAACGCCACCGAAGCCACCGGGGCGCTGGGCCGCGGCTCTGCCGGGACCACCGGGGACGTTTTGAGCAGCACGGCCACCTTCACTGTCACCACCGTGGCCACCATCTGCCTCTACCTCCCACACGGCTCCAGCCCCCCGGCCAGTGGGTGTCCCGGGGGGGTCACGGGGTTCGGGGTGGGGGTCTCCTGGGGTGGGGGTCTCCTTCCGGGGGTCTCCTCCCGGGGGTCTCCTGGGGTGAGGAGGAAGAGGAGGATGGAGGTTCTGGGGCGGGGGTCTCCTTCCCATGGATCTTCTGGGGTGGGGGGTCCTTCTCAAGGGTCTCCTGGGCTGGGGAGGAAGAGGAGGATGAAGGTTCTGGGGTGTCCTGGGGTGTTCTGGGGTGGGGGGTCCTTCTCAAGGGTCTCCTGGGCTGGGGAGGAAGAGGAGGATGAAGGTTCTGGGGTGTCCTGGGGTGGGGTCTCCTCCCGGGGGTCTCCTGGGGTGAGGAGGAAGAGGAGGATGAAGGTTCTGGGGTGTCCTGGGGTGTTCTGGGGGTCTCCTGGGGTGTCATGGGGTGGCGTCTCCTCCCGGGGGTCTCCTGGGGTGAGGAGGAAGAGGAGGATGAAGGTTCTGGGGTGTCCTGGGGTGTCCTGGGGTGGGGTCTCCTCCCGGGGGTCTCCTCCGATGCGTCCGGAGGCCGAAGGAAGGACACGGATCCCTCTCCCGTGTCCCCTCACCGCGTCCTCGTCCCCCTCCCGTTCCAGTCGTGTGCCGCAACGGTGGCGTGGCCAACCGGACCCGCTGCCTGTGCCCCCCCGGCTACACCGGCCCCACCTGCGAGACCCCCGACCCCTCTGACCGCTGCGCCGGGGGCAGCACCGCGGTGGGCGAGCGCTGCGTCTGCCCCCCGGGCCGGGCGGGACCGCGCTGTGCCACCCCCGAGCCGGCCACCGCCTGTCGCCACGGTGGCACCGCCGTGGGCACCCAGTGCTACTGCCCCCCCGGCTTCTCCGGCCCCCGCTGTGAAGACCCCAGACCCACCAGTGCCCCCCCGGCCAGGACCCCAGCCCGGAGCAGAGCGACGCCCAGGAGCACCAGGAGAACCACGACCACCGCCGTCCCCACCACCAGAGGTCGGTGGCTTTGCCTGGGGTGGGAAGACCCCCCCCCTCCCCAAATCCCTGGGTGTTTTTGGGGGGGGGGGGGGGCGGGGCACAGCAGGGTGGGGGAGGGGTGGGAACAGGAATTGGGGGTTTTTTTGGTTTTACCCCCAAAACTGGGGGGGTTCTGATGGTGGAACGGGGGGGGTGGTGGCTCCTCCTGGGGTGGGACCACCCCCCCCCACACTCCGCGGGTGTTTTGGGGAGGGGGGACGCCCCACCCAAAGGAGTTTTCAGCCCCCAGCCCCTCAGTGCTGCCCCCCCGCCCAGGAGGACCTAACAGGAATTGGGTTTTTTTCCCGTTTTCCCCCCAAAATTGAGAGCTGTGGTGATGGTGGAGACAGCTGGAGGGAACGGGGGTGGTGGCTCCTCCTGGGGTGGGACCACCCCCACCACTCCGCGGGTGTTTTGGGGGTGTTGCCCCCCACCCAGAGCACCCCAAGGTGGGGTTGGGGGAGCGGGGAGGGGGGTGGCGGCACCAGGAATTGTTTTTTCTCCTGGTTTTGCCCAAAAAATGGAGGTTTGGGCCAACCGTGGGGGGGACAACGGGGGTGACGCGGTCGGGGTCCCCAAGGCCTGGTGTCCCCCCACAGACCCCTGCCTGAACGGGGGGCGCTGGCTGGGCACGGCGTGTCTGTGCCCCCCCAACGTGGACGGCGCCCGCTGCGAGTTCGGTGCCACCACCATCAACCTGACGGCAGGTAAAGGGCGGGGCACACCCCCACCTGTGACCCACCCCACCCCGCGTCCCCTCCGAGGTGTCCCCGTGTCACCTCCGAGGTGTCCCCGCGTCCCCTCCGAGGTGTCCCCATGTCACCTCCGAGGTGTCCCCGCGTCACCTCCGAGGTGTCCCCGTGTCACGGACGCGCGCTGTCCCCGCAGAGCTGGGTCCCTCCGTGACCATGGTGGCGCGCGTCACCAACCGGGACTTCTCGGAGGACTTGGGGGACACCTCGTCCCCCGGCCACCGGCGCTTCGCCGAGGAGTTCAGCCGGACGGTGAGACCCCATCGGTGGGACCTCCTTGGGGGGGGGGGGACACACCCCGGGGGACCACCAGGATCACCCCAAGGTCCACCCTGAGGTCCATCCCAAGGTCCATCCCAAGGAACCACCCCGAGGGATCCATCAAGAACACCTGGGACCACCCCAAGGGACCATCCAGAAGGTCCATCCCTGGAGACCATCCCAAGGGACCCCCAGGACCATCCCAAAGCTCCACCACAAGGACCCCCAGGACCATCCCGAGGGGACACCCCAAAGGATTCATCCAAAGACCCCCAGGATCACCCCAAGGGACCATCCAGAAGGTCCAGGCTTAGAGACCATCCCTAGGGACCCCCAGGACCGTCCCAAAGCTCCACCATGAGGACCCCCAGGACCATCCCAAAGCTCCACCCCAAGGCACCCTCAGGACCACCCTAAGGGATCCCCAGGACCATCCCAAAAGATCCCAGGACCATCCCTAGGGACCCCCAGGACCATCCCAATGGGACACCCCAAAGGATTCACCCAAAGACCCCCAGGATCACCCCAAAAGGACCTTCCCAAGGGTCCCCCAGGACCAAGACAAAGGACCCCCAGGACCACCCCAAGGACCACCCTAAGGGACAACCCAGGGGACCACCCAAGGGACCCCCTGAACATCCCCAAGAAGCCCCCGAAGGACCCCCAGGACCATTCCAAGTGACCATCCCCAGATCCAGTTTGACCCGTGTCCGTCTGTCCCCAGATGGACGGGATCTACCGGAACGTCTCTGGCTACCGCGGGATCAGCGTCCTGAGCCTCAGGTGGGTGAGGGACCAGGGGGTGGGATCCGTGGGGTGGGATCCGTGGGGTGGGATCCGTGGGGTGGAATGGATCCATGGGATGGGATCCTTGGGGTAGGATGGGATCCGTGGGGTGGGATCCTTGGGGTGGGATGGGATCTGTGGGGTGGGATGAGATCCATAGGGTGAGATGGGACGAGATCCATGGGGTGGGATGGAGGAAAACCTCTGGGATGGGTGAGGAACCTCTGGATGGTATGGGATCCATAGGATGGGATGGGATCAATGGGGGTGGGATGGGATCTGTGGGGTGGGATGGGATCAGTGGGGTGGGATGGGATGGGATCCATGGGGTTGGATCCATAGGATGGGATGGGATGGGATCCATGGGGTTGGATCCATAGGATGGGATGGGATGGGATCCATGGGGTTGGATCCATAGGATGGGATGGGATGGGATCCATGGGGTTGGATCCATAGGATGGGATGGGATGGGATCCATGGGGTTGGATCCATAGGATGGGATGGGATGGGATCCATGGGGTTGGATCCATAGGATGGGATGGGATGGGATCCATGGGGTTGGATCCATAGGATGGGATGGGATGGGATCCATGGGGTTGGATCCATAGGATGGGATGGGATGGGATCCATGGGGTTGGATCCATAGGATGGGATGGGATGGGATCCATGGGGTTGGATCCATAGGATGGGATGGGATGGGATCCATGGGGTTGGATCCATAGGATGGGATGGGATGGGATCCATGGGGTTGGATCCATAGGATGGGATGGGATGGGATCCATGGGGTTGGATCCATAGGATGGGATGGGATGGGATCCATGGGGTTGGATCCATAGGATGGGATGGGATGGGATCCATGGGGTTGGATCCATAGGATGGGATGGGATGGGATCCATGGGGTTGGATCCATAGGATGGGATGGGATGGGATCAGTGGGATGGGACGGGATCAGTGGGGTGGGACGGGATGTGACAGCCCCAAGCCCCCAAGAACCGAGCCTGTCCCCCGCAGCCGCGGCAGCGTCGTGGTGAATTACCGTGTCCAGCTGCAGCCCCTGCCCGGCAACGCCAGCCTGGAGCGCCGAGCCCTGGAGCTGCTGGCTGTGACCAACGCCGCAGCCCAGCCCCACAACTGCGGCCCCTCGGCTGGTAGGTGACCCCCGCCCGCCCTGGGCCGGTCCCCAACACCTCTGGTCACCCCCAGTGACCACCCCGGTCCCCAACACCTCTGGTCACCCCCAGTGACCACCCCGTGCTCTCCCCTCTCCCAGACGGGCTCTGCTTCACCGCCACCTCCGCCAGAGCCACCGGAGCCGCCGCGCTGGCTCTCAACGACACCGGTGAGCGCAGGCTGGGGACACCTGGGGACACCTGGGGACACCTGAGGACACCTGGGGACACCACGGGGAGGGGTGGTGGGGATGGGGGACTCTTGACCAGGGTTTGGCCTCTGCAGAGCTTTGCCGGAAGCACGCGCCGGCCAACTTCAGCCGGTTCTACTTCCCGTACCGCACGGCCGACGGGCTCCTCTGCGTCACCAACTGCACCCTCAACGTCCCCGGCTCCTTCGACTGCCACCGCGGGCTCTGCCGGCTCACCCTGGAGGGACCCCAGTGCTTGTGAGTTGGCCACGCCCCACCTCGGCCACGCCCACTGGTCCCACCTTAAGGCGGGCCTTGAACCCGTGGTCAAAGGTCTCCCCAAGGCTGAAGAAGTTGAAACCCGATGTTTGACCCCAAAATTGGGTTCTTGACCTCAATGCCCCCGATGTTTGATGACCAAGGTCCCACCACCACCCAAAACCTTGACCCCAAAACCTTGACCCCAAAAACTTGACCCCAAAACCTTGACCCCAAAACCTTCACCCCAAAACCTTCACCCCAAAACCTTCGCCCCAAAATCTTGACCCCAAAACCTTCACCCCAAAACCTTCACCCCAAAATCTTGACCCCAATGGTCCAACTCTTGACTCCCGTCAGCTCCTGCCCTTCAAACCCAACCCTGGACCCCCAAACTCAACCCTTGACCCCAACACCAAAATCTTGACCACCAACACCCGGCCTGTGACCACCAAACCCAACTCTTGGTCTTCAAACCCAACCCTTGACCCCAACACCCAACCCTTGACCCCCAACACCCAACCTTGGCCCCAACACCAAAATCTTGACCACCAAACCCAACCCTTGACCCCCCAACTGAACCTTGACCCCCAACGCCCAACCTTGGCCCCCAAACTCAACCTTTGACCCCAACACCAAAATCTTGACCACCAACACCCAGCCCATGACCACCAAACCCAACCCTTGGTCTTCCAACCCTTGACCCCCAACACCCAACCTTGGCCCCAACACCAAAATCTTGACCACCAACACCCGGCCTGTGACCACCAAACCCAACCCTGGACCCCTAAACTCAACCCTTGACCCCCAACCTTGGCCCAAACACCAAAATCTTGACCACCAACACCCGGCCCGTGACCACCAAACCCAACCCTTGGTCTTCAAACCCAACCCTTGACCCCCAACTCCAACCGCTCTCCACCAAATCCAACTTTGACCCCCAAACTCAACCCTTGAGCCCCAACTCTTGACCCCCAACACCCAACCCTTGACCCCAACACCCAACCCTCGACCCCCAGCTCCAACTCCTGCCCTCCAAACCCAACTTTTGACCCCCACACCCAACCCTTGACCCTCAAACTCAACCCTTGACCCCCCAAACCCCTTGCCCGCCCCCCTCAGAACTCGACCCCAACCCAGGGTCATGGTGATGGATCTCCAGGGAGGGCTCCTGTGATTCCAGAAGGTTCCTTGAACCCCCGGCCCCCACCCTGGGAGGGGGTGAGGACCCTTCCCGTGACCTCTCACCTCCCCCCACAGCTGCCCGGACCTGCCCTGGTTCCTCTCGGCCGGTGACCGCTGCCAGACCCACATCAGCAAACTGGGGCTGGGCCTGGGCGTGGGGCTGGGGCTGGGCCTGACCATCCTCATCCTCCTCATCCTCTGCATCATCCTCAGCATCCGCTTGGCCCGAGGGCGGAAGAAGTCACCTGGAGCCAGGTGAAAGCGCTGTGGGGGGGGGTTCCCTGTGGGGTCACGGGGAGGGGGTTTGGGTTGGACCCCAAAATCGGGTTCAGCAGCTCTGCCCCATGGAGGGGGTGGGAGAGTGGAGACCCCACCACCTCCAGCATCACCCCCCACCCCTCCCCAGACCCCTGAAACTTGCCCGGCTCCACAGCGAGGCCGCCGAGGACGCGTGGCCGGACGGGGCCCGCGGCAGCCGCGTCACCGGGATCTACCACGTCAACGGCGGAGGCGGCGGTGCCGGGAAAGGTGGGACCCGAAACGGGGGGTGAAACCATCCCTGGAGAGGGAAAATCCCCCCCAAATCCTCACAGGGTCATCGTCCTCCTCCTCCTCTTCCTCCCGCCAGGTCCCCACAACACCTACAAGCCCAGCTCGGAGGTGGCGGAACCGCCGGCATCGGTGGGTGACGTCGTTTGGGGGTGGTCCTCAGCCTAAGATTGACCTGGAACCCCAGTTTTGATCCCAAAACCCAAACCGGGAGCCCCAAAGCCACGACCGGTGACCTCAAAATGCCCAAGCCCCCCGTTGTGACCTCACAACCGCAATTTCGATCTCCAGAACTCAAACTGTGACCTCACAACCCCAGTTTCGATCTCCAGAACTCAAACTGTGACCTCACAACCCCAGTTTCGATCTCCAGAACTCAAACTGTGACCTCACATCCCCAATTTCGATCTCCAGAACTCAAACTGTGACCTCACAACCCCAATTTCGATCTCCAGAACTCAAACTGTGACCTCAAAACCCTAAACCTGACCCCAAACCCCCTTACCTCGACCCCCAAAACCAAAACTGTCACCCCAAAACCTCCAACCTCCACCCCAAGTTCCCAATTTTCAACCCCAAACCCCGAACTCCAGCCCAAACCCCAAATTTTGATCTTCAAAACCCCAAATTTTGACCTTCAAAACCCCAACCGTGACCTTCAAACCCCCAACCTCCACAGCCAGACTCCCAGCCTTGACCTCGCATCCCCAGTATTAACTCCCAAAACCCCTGGTTTTGACCCCAAACCTTAACCCTCAGCCCCCTCCCCATTTTTCAGGTGCTGGCAGAAGGTGCAGCAGCCCTGTGACCCCCCCCACGGCTGGGAGGGGGTGACCAAGGTGCCCCCCCGGACCCCCGGCACCATCGGGCAGCGACCGAAGCCCTCGGAACCCTCATTTTTTGGGGGGAAAAAAGGCGGGATCGGGATCCTCTGTGAGAGAGGAGAGGTCCTCCCATGGTCCTTTTTGGGGTGGGGGGGTTTCTCCTTGGAGAGGACATCCCGTGGTGGGGGTCGGGGTTGGATCCGGCTCTGGGAGCGTCGCCGGAGCTGGAAAATCCTGATCTCCGCAGAAATTATATTTATTAATGTATTTATTTCATCTCCTGAGAAATCTCTGGGAGAAGGGGGGGATGGAGTGGGGGGAACCCCAAAGGAAAGTGGTGATGACCCCTTTGGGGGTGAAGATTTTGGGCTGGGGGTCACCGGTGGGGGTCTTGGGGGGGTCACGGTTTGGGGTTTGGGGGTCGAGGTTGGGGGTTTGAGGTCATGGTTGAGGTTCTGGAGGTTGAGATTGGGGGTTTGGGGTCAGGGTTGGGGTTTTGGGGGAAAAACTGGGGGTTTGGAGGTCAAGGTTGGGGTTTTGGGGGTCAAAGTTGGGGTTTTGGGGGAGAAGGTTGGGGATTTGGTATCGTGGCTGAGGTTTGGGGTTAAGCAAGGGATTTTGGATGTTGAGATTGGGGTTTTGAAAGTTGAGATTGGAGGTTTGGGGTTCTGGGTTCCAGACTGGGAGTTTTAGGGTTGAGGTCGAGGTTTTGGGGTCACAGTTGGCATTTTGGGATCTGGTTTGGGGGTTGGGAGGACACGGTTGGGTCTTTAAAATCCGAAGTTGACTTTTGGAAGCCCAGTTTGTGTTTTGGGGTCACTATTGGGGTTTGGGGCACCGATTCGGGGTTTTGAACATCAAGGTGGGAGTTGTGGGCGTTGAGATTTGAGGTTTGGGGGGGATCCCAGTCGGGATTTTGGGGATCGTGGGTGGGCTTTGAGGGTCGAGGGGTGGCTTGGAGAGAATTCCCAACCCCAACACAACCAACCAGGACCGAAACCAACCCGCCGCCGGGGGAGAGCGAAGAAATCCCACAGAAACGCCCCTTTGCCAAACACGGGTGGGGTGGATCCCCTGACCCAATAAAATCTGACCTCCTGCTGGCCCAAAAGTCCGATTTCCGCCCTTCCCACCCCTCCCGGCGCCCGCTCCGCTCTGGAAAGAGCAGTGTTTGTTTTCTGGGTGGGAAAAGGGCCGTCCCCACCCGCCAGGTGCTCGGGAGCGGCCGGAAAAGCGGGAAAAGGGCGGCCAAAGTTTTGGGGTTGGTCCTGAGGGGGTGGGGAGGGGTCTCCAGGGGGTCCTCGATTTCCCTCACGGGGATTTTGGAAGGGTTGGGATGATGGTTTTGGCCACCTGAGTCTTCTCTTAGGATGGGGTTTGGCCACTGACACGCTGTGGTGACCAATGGTGACCAATGGTGACCAACGGTGGCCCAACCGTGACCCAACCGTGACCCAACCGTGACCCAGCGATGATCCAGGGGGTCCCCACGGGGTTCCTGGTGTCCAGGAGTGGTCCTGGAGGATCCTTGGCCACCCCACGGCTGAGTCACCGAAGGGGGTGGGAGGTTCAGTCCCTGTCCCAGCCCCGGAGTCCAAGGTTCCTCTCCTGCCGCTTCTTCCCACGGCTCCGCCGGCTCCGAGCGCATTCTGGCTCTGGCATGGTGCCGCTGGAGGAGCCTCCGTGGGGAAAATGAAAGTTTCCATCTTCCACCTCCACTTCTTCCTCCTCCTCTTCCTCCCCGAAGGAAGAACGAGTGAGTAGGGCCGGGAAAGGGATTTTTCTTGGAGGTTTTTTTTTTTTTTGGGGGGAGGGGGAATTCCAGGTGGGATGGGAGGCGATGTCGTCTCCCCTCGGGATTTTCTGTGGGAATCCTCGGTGGAAGGGCGGCTTCACCTCCATCACCTCCATTCCCTGCAGAAAATCTCCCTCTCCGAGGTCCCATCCCATTGTGGGGTCCACGGAAATGGGTCAGGGGTCCACGGAAATGGGTCAGGGGTCCCCAGGAATGGGTCATGGAATGGGTCAGGGGTCCCCGGGAATGAGTTATGGAATGGGTAAGGGGTCCACGGAAATGGGTCAGGGGTCCCTGGAAATGGGTCAGGGGTCCCCAGAAATGGGTCAGGGGTCCCCAGGAATGGGTCAGGGAATGGGTCAGGGGTCCCAGGAAATGGGTCAGGGGTCCCCAGAAATGGGTCAGGGGTCCCCAGGAATGGGTCATGGAATGGGTCAGAGGTCCCCGGGAATGGGTCAGGGGTCCCCGGGAATGGGTCAGGGGTCCCCAGGTATGAATTATGGAATGGGTCAGGGGTCCACAGAAATGGGTCAGGGGTCCACAGAAATGGGTCAGGGGTCCACGGGAATGGGTCAGGGGTCCCCAGAAGTGGGTCAGGGGTCCCTGGGGCTGCACTGGAGTCCTGGGAGTTGGATCAGGGTCCGCAGGGGTGGGTCAGGGGTCCTTGAGGATGGGTTGGGGGTCCCCAGGAATGCACTGGGGCTCCATGGAGATGGATCAGGACCCACAGGGATGGATCAGAACCCACAGGGATGGGTCGGGGGTCCCTGGGGATGGATCAGGACCCACAGGGATGGGTCGGGGGTCCTTGGGGATGGATCAGGACCCACAGGGATGGGTCGGGGGTCTTTGGGGATGGGTTGGGGGTCTCCAGGAATGCATTGGGGGTCCCTGGGGATGGATCAGGGTCCACAGGGATGGGCCAGGTGCCACTCCCCCCCACCCCCACCCTTATCTGCTGGAACATTCCTGAAGATCCATATCAGAGCCTCCTC